CAATGGTCCTTAGCAAATCAGAAGTAAGCATAATTTACTTGGATATTTTCGAAACTTTTTGAAATCAATTATAGATACCAGTGCTGTGGCTCCAATCCAGCTCCTCCTCCTCTTCCAACTAGTCAGTTTATAATCAACTTTTTCTGGATAAAGATGCTTTCTTCCAGACGACGGATGCCCGAATGCCCAGCTAGCCTATAGAGATAGGGGCACTGTGCAAATCTGCACAGCGGGCTCATCGACTTGTCCTCCTGGCTACTTCTGTCAATTTTCTGCTTCGAATCGCCAGTTCCAGTGCTGTGGCGTTAGCGGAGGTATCTCGGACCATAAATTCAATAGCAGTAGATCTCCTATATTTTTTTATTCAAGGTTGTCCTGCGGAATCGGTGGCTTTCGTCGGGTTATCTGGGGAACCCCAGCAATGCGTATTGGGACAATCCAAGTGCCCTGTAGGATTTGCCTGTCGTCGATCTGTCGCTGGACATCACATCTGTTGTACCAAAAAGAAAAAAGGTTGGATATTCAGCGAACCTAGCCCATTCCGTTCACCAAAAATTCAGAAGCCTGCTCCGACAAGGAAATGCTAATTGACGGGATGTGCTTGAGGACAGCAGCACCTGGAGCAGCTTGCTTGAAATCTGAACAGTGTTTGGGAGGGTCATTGTGCGAATCGGGGATCTGTGAATGTCCAAACTCGACTGTTCCGATTGGGGGATTTTGTCAGGAAGAGATAAGTGAGTGAATTCGTAAGCAAAATAAGCTCGCATGTACTAGTGAGTAACTGTACCTTGTTTCGGAGAATTTCTGTGGTTTATGCCGTTGAAGTCTCCAGCCAAATTTGAATTTTGGTTTGGTTTTCTTATGTAGGAATCATCAGATGGTCTTTGTTGTAAGGTATAAGCAGCAAGTCGCGAAATTCACACCTGGCTTAGAAATTCAAGTCTATATTCTCCCATACCGTACTCGACCCTGATTGGTTCGCTCGGGAAGAGCACGGTACTGGGCTTAAAGTTCAGAGTGAAAGTTCTGGCCATAAACAAATTACAACAGCTGGGGCTGGGCATTGGCT